CCCCAAAACCCCAAAACCCCAAAACCCCAAAACCCCAAAACCCCGTTTTTTACTTGGCTCATTGAAAGCGACTATTCTTTACCAAACCTATCTAAACCACTAATCTATGTATTCACACTTATCACAACAAAAATGTTACTTCTTCCTACACGAAGACCCCTCCTTTTTAGGAGTAACTTCTTGACCTGTCTTTACATAGGTGCTGAAGGACTGACCCATGACTGATTTGAAAGTGGGGTCGGGGAGATTTTGGTGGATTTCTTTGAGGTAGTAGGATTTGAGGAGGTAGTCACGGGTGATTTGGCGGATGTTGAACGGGAATTTGATTTTGGAGGGGGAGGAAGGGGGGTTTGGGTGGGTTTTGGAGTGGGTCTAGGGGTGAGGAGGGGCTTACGTTCCAGGCGCCTTTGATGGTTGTTCCGAAGTTGCCTAGAGAGTGAGGGGGTTGGGTTTACAGCCGTTGAATGTGCATTTGTAAGGCTTTTCTTTCCAGTGAAAACGGATGTGGTCGATGAGGTAGCTCTTATGCTCGATGTTCTTTTCTCAAATGGGGCATTGGAACTTCTGGATCCTAAACTGATTAGTTTGGCATACTCTTTATGATGATGAAGATGATCGAGGAGAACTTCCCAATGAGATGTTGTGAATACTTTTCTAAATTTATTTCTTAAGGCTGGCTTGTCTTGTGGAAACTCCTAGATTGCTCTGAGAATTGTCTTCTCATAGCAAACATTTAAATGATATGCTAAACAATTAGATAAAACTTGCTTCGAAGTGGATTCTCTGATGATCTGGAAGGCAGTTGGTACTGCATAAGTGAAGTTAGTCAAAGGAGCTTTACTTAAGAAGTCAAGGTTTTCAAGCACATGCTCTCTAGGCACATGATTTCCAGCACTTTTCTAAATTTTGCTATTTAGGTTGTAAACTTACTTCAAATGTATTACTCATTTTCTGTCCAAAAGTAAATTCAATGGGATCAATTTTTGTTTGTGTTCTTGGTGGTCATTGCTCTTGGCCTTGAGCAGACTGCTTTTCAGTCTGAGATTCTTCCTTCTCATTGGATGCATGACTTCCTTTCAAAGATTGTTCCCGACTTCAGTTTTCTTGCTCAGTGCTGCTATCAGAGCAATGAATTTGCTTACTTTCAGGTATTTCCTGAGATTTTGGTGATTCTAAAAATTAGTGAAAACTTACTTTTGCTCTCTAATTTACTTTTAGATTGGATCTCTTTGACTGGTTTTTGATCCAAATATCCAGTAGGCTTACTCTCAGTGTCCTGCACATCCAAGCGAGAGCATGCAACATTGAGATCTTTTGTAGGTAATGAGCATGGTTTATCTATCACTAGTGATCTTTGGTCAGTTGTTGTCTTGTTTAAATATGCGTTCTTCTGATCCAAAGTACAGCTTAGTAACTCTACTATATTATTCCAAACCTTACCATTGACAAAGGCAAAGTGGTTGAGTTTCGACCCCTCTAGCTTTATGTTGCATCTAGGTGGAGCGTCATGACTGAAGTTTGTAATTGCGGTGCAGACTGCTTCAGCCCAGAGATCAGAAGGGAGATCCCCTACAATTTAGCACTTCGCTTACTCATTGACTTGAAGGTACTGATGAACATGCGCATGTTCGGACTGAATTCCACATGCTCTGGAGTATTTTTTGGTAACTTTTGAGATTCCATTGATGCTGACAATATTAGGAGTGAATATTTTCAAATTATAATTGATGAACGGGGTTTTGGGGTTTTGGGGTTTTGGGG